GGCACGATGATGATGATGATGATGATAAACTTCATTCGTGTCAATGTAATTAGCTGACTCTAATTGGGGACACAACGTAAATGAATAACCTAATTAATGATAAGAAATAAGTATAGATTATATAACCTAAGAGGTACAAATTACGCACGCGGGGCAATTGTTACCATTTATCATTTCAGTAAGATCCTTACGCCTAATATGAAACTTAAACCTAGAAAGGCTACTAATTTCAGTGATGTTTTTTTTCAGTTTGTTCCATAAAAATGGTCCAAGATATCTAAGAGAGTGTTTACCATACAATACAGAATTAAACCTAGGAGCGCTTACTACGCTGGGAAATTTTTTTCCCAGCGTAAAGAAAACGACAAATCGATGAATCCATGTGGTTTTCGACCATGTGCCTTGCCAAGCCCACGCGAGTCAGAAAATCTGCTGTCGTTGAACTGATAATTTCTTTGAGCAACGAACCGTCCGAACTGAGAAAGCTGTGTCATATTTCAATCGACGAAATAATTCTAAAAGGAGTAATATTAATGCTCATAAAAATGTAAGCGTCCATTGCTCAATACATGGCAAAAAAAGTACTCAATTAATGCTCGATTTCTTTGAAAAGTGCTTGAAATTTAGAAATAGTGCACGAACGTTGCTCGCAGTTATGTTTTTTATACAAAGGTTTATACATATTCCTTGTTTTATCAAACTACTTTACTTGTAACTCTCGATTTCTAATATACTGAGGTGACCATAAATTATGACGTTTGTCGAACAAAAACTCTTTCTTATCCGTCAAGCATGGTTTCTCAAGCACACAGCATCACAGAACTGTATGCAATCAATCATGTAACTACAACTTCGATCATCGTCTCAAGGTCACGAACCAATCAAAATCGGCTGTTCGCATGGTGAAAAGGATCAAAGCTCGTGTATTTCCATGACAACAGTCAGCCAGACAGGCGACAAGGTGGAATTATTCATAATTTATGCTCATGATAATAGAATTATTCGGCTTTACTGAAAACGTTTCAAAGACAAAATGTTGCATTTAATATGTGGAAAATTGTGAATAATGTGCTGAAATGTTTCCCAAAAAGCTAAAAAATGCTCAAATTCTGCTCAAAAGTCAATTATTAAGTGCTCTAGAGTGCTGGAAATGTAAAATAGTACACCAAACTCGAAAAAGTGCCGAAAAAATTCCCAGCGCAATCGGGACAGGCCTATCTGTCTCGCCGATGTTCTTTCTCGGCCAATGCTGTCCAGACTTGTGCTGATCGCGCCACTCGCTCCGGGAATTCTCAGCCATATTTATTTTGTAAATATTTTAGCCTTGTAAATTACTCATTTTAAAATCTTAGCAAACTTTAAAAGAGATGTGAGAAATGAAGTGCTGTTCTATAGCTAGTTTACCATTATTTTAATTTCTGGGTCAAATTGGAACACTTATACCTGCACTGCCTTCCATAAAATTTATGACTTTTCAACCAAAGGGTTCATTAACAGAAATCTTCCTAATCTACCCATCCTTCCAAAAAACGCATTCTTTTTCATGCTTAGTGTTAATTAAAATTTAGGTTTCCCCACTGTTTAATCAATGGAGGCTTAACGCAGTGAAACATAAAACTCATAAAACTCATATGTTTCATATGTTTGTTGTTGTTCGATAAAACTCATATCCTGAAATGAATTTCCTAGTCTATTTTCCTTCGCTACCGGAAATAACTTTTTTTCTTCCCGGCATCCATTAAAAGAATTGGATGTGGTAAGGACCAAATTACTCGAAACCAGAATAAAGGAAAAATATTGGTCTTCGGGACCGCGTCGCAAGACTTTACAGAGTATCCTATAATTCGGAAATTTTCAAACAATGCAAAAAAATCGAATGCGGTTCGGCTACCACCGTTTTTGGTTGAGCTACTCAAGTTAAGATGAGCTGTTGACTAAAACCAAGTATGCGAGACGAGAATAGTCGATAACAGCTAGGTGTACCGAAAGTAAAATTCCTCAACAGTCACCACAGCTTCTCAGGTTTGAAAGTTGTCAAACGGATCAAGTAATTTATTTTGCGACGTAGAGTTTATCGAATCTACTGCACAGATGCACTTGTTGAAGAGGGTAATCACATCTAGTAAGTTAAATACGTTTGTGCCTTAAAATGGCCAAAATAAATTCAAAAACTTAATGAGTCTTCTGGAAAGAATGATCTTCTTGGAATAACTAAATAACAGTTATCCACATATTTTTAAACTTTGGAGAAAAAGTCTGCACTTGTGAACTTTGCTTGGTGCTGACCTTTTGGCAGGAAAAATCTTGAATTTTGCGAAAGATTTTTTCCCACCAAAATTTAAGCGAAGATTTTGTTTTAAAACTAAAAACTGTTCATTCCTACAGAATTTCTCTTCGTCTTAGCAACCCTCCATTCGCAAAATGAGGTGAAAGAGATTTTGTCTAGTTACCAGGCCCTTTTAAAAACCCAATTTTTTGGGTAACTGAGCAGTTAATATTAATGAATGAAAGAGACAGCTGTGGAAATGAAGAGTATTTGCTACCCATTAAATATTAACTTTTTATTGACTAATGGAAATATTTACAGCAGATGGTAAGCTTTCGCCTAAACTATGCATTAGCTTGAAATGACAAGTCTTGAACTTAAAAAAGAACCAAGCAAATGCCAACAAGACAAACAGCTAAAAAGAAACTCGATAATTTTTACGAAGTTTGGGCCCAGTTGTTCAAAGGCAGATTAGTGCTGACCAAAGGTTAAATGTTGATCATGGTTTCTATATTTCTCTGTTCAACGGCTGTTTAGTGAAAATTTTCTGAACTCTTTTTGGAGCATTCAATCATCAAATTGTAGAAAAATGGAATTAAGTGGATTTTCTTTTTATTCAAAGCTTTCAGATCTGAAATCAAATTTCACACTAACCTTGGGTTTTCTTAACCTTTGACCTTTGAACAACCCGGCCCTGATTACTACTAGAAATTGCGGAGATGGTAATGAAGATTTTTAGCGAAAACATTCTGATAAAAAATGCAAAAATCACATTGAAAAAATAAGCTACTTAAATTCACGAAATACGACAACTTCATCAATTACCAGGAGATACTGGAGTTTTATCCAAAATATTGTCTGCAACGTTTTCAAAACAAATTTTGAAATGACTGACAAATTTTGTCTGAAAATTTTCGTGCAATGCATGATTACTGCTACAAAAACGCTTACCTAACTTGAAACCAATCCCATCAACTTACTAAATGAGTTCTTGAAATTCAAAATATCAAAAAGTTCCTAATTTTCTTCATCATCTCTTGACTATTAAATCCTCCTTAACTTAATTTTGAAAGCCTCGGTTCACTTTAACCAAAAGAAATTGAACTTGTCTAAAGTAATTGACGAGTTTGTCTTGAGAAGGAAGTTAACGGTGCCGAGGTACAGTTGTTACCTCTAACATTAACCTCCTAACGTTTCTCTTCGAGAACTAAGTTATTCATCTGTTTAACGTTGTCTACTCTCTCCGTGCTTGTGATCCTCGCCAACAGGCGATTAATTTATGACAGCTTCAAGAAAAACAAATGGATATGTTAAAATATTAAAAAAAAAAACATGTTACTTTGCTTATATCCTAAACGAAAGTTTATCCAACCTGGAATTGAGTAATCAGTAAACAGAAGTCGATTGTACTTCACAGTTCCGATAAATTTGGATTCAAAAGCTGCTTTACTCACCGAAATAAACCCAAAACGAATGAAATCCTTACGGCTAATTCATCTCCTTTGGTGTTCTCAGTCGTTTAACCACGCGAACTTAAAACGAACGGGGTATTAACTTTTCTAATAAACAAAATGTTAACTATTTATCAACTTGACAAGTTAAGGAAACAGTGCTCACGATATGGAATTTTACACAATTTGTTTGTTTGTTTGTTTGTTTGTTTTTATGGAAAATGGGCCATTCTGATATTTTCTGGTAATATTAACTTCTTACTACCGTACTGGAGAACATTGGCCCGAAGTCGTGGCAGTATGGTCCGAGCGAAACGAGTTCGTTTAAAAACGGCCAATAATCCCCAGTGCGGCTCGAGTAGGCGAGATTGGTAAGAAGTTTATACCTTGATGAACAGGCCCGTCATATAAGCTGTAATCCTGACGAGATAGGTTAATGCCAAGTTGCACAAGAAAAGATTCTAAGGAGGAGGGGGTGGGGGGAAACGAGAATCCACCCACCCTCCATATTTTACGATCACAACGGAGGACCGAGGAACTGCAAAGTAGACTTGTCTATCAAAGGTATAAGGGAATCCCCAACCTTTATTATACTGACCACTATAAAATACTGAATAAGGACGAGAAAGAAATTTTATTCAATACAAGCAGGTTATAATAGCCATGAGGTGGCAGCAAATCACTGTAAAGGATTGAAGTGACTCCAGTTTTTCTTACCTTAGTTGAGGAATTTTTTGCTGTCGGTAACTTTGCAGATCTTTTCTTCTCGTCAAGAACTTCTTATTCCTCAAGTTTTCCCGATTTTGAGTGACCTAAATCACAAACGAGGTATTGAGATATACTTAGGCGATAAAGGGAAGTCATAAGAACCGAGATATTATGAGTCATGGACATTGAGCGCTTGCTACAATGTTTACAAATGTCTTGCCAATAAAAAATCTTTTCAGTAATGCTTACAATTGTGAGATATAATGGCAAATCTTTGAAAATGAAACAAATGACTTTAGCTTCTCCTACCTTCGTTAAAATTTTTTTCTGCTATCGGTAATTTAGCGAGTCTGTTATTCTCATCAAGAATTTCTTCATTATCAAGTTTTCTCTTTCTTGAGTGACCTAGATCACAAACGAGGAAATGAGGTATTTTAATTCTTAAACTCTCAGAAGCGATTAATGAGTAACTTCTCCCTATAATATCCATACATGATCCAGCAAACAGGTAATGAGAATACTCAAACTTATCAGGTAGTAGTTTACACCTTGATTGAAAACCAAATTCTCGTAACCAATTTACAAGGAAATGTGTAGCAACCAGAGGAGAGAATTCACAATCTGATCTTGGGACTTAAAGGGTTAATATGTAATTTGTCCCTCTAATATCCACACATCATCCAGCACATAGGTGATGAGACTATTCTAATTTAACCTTGACATGGTGGACAGAGCTGAATAACGTAGGCGCATACGCTATGTTTTGCCGCGGAAAACGGATGTTTGAGTAGTTTGCAGCTGGGTTGATTTCTTTGCCGCTTTTCATGCACAGAACAACCTCCAAGAACTTGGTACACCTCCTTAAATTTTCGAAGATTAATTTTCTCCTTAAAACCTCTGGAAATATGAAAATGCTTTTGACGAAAATACAGTTCCTCAATTTTAAATGTCAGCCTTATTATTTTCCGCTAATTTTAGATCTAGAACACTTGAGCCCGCGTTGATGACCGCCTACCATCTGACGTGGCATTTCACTATTCAGCTCTGTCGACATGTTAAGGTTGTTACCTCGATCTATCACCAAATTCTCGTAAACAATTCACAGGGAAACGCGTAGCAGTTAGAAGGGAAGAATTAACAATCAGGGCCTAGTTGTTCGAAGGTCGATTAGCACCAACCCAAGGATTAAATTTTAATCCTGGTTTCTATATTTCCCTGTTCAAAAGCCGTTTGGAGATAGTTTTCCCAATTCTTTTTGAACATTCAATCATCAAATTGTAGACAAATAGAATTAAGCTGAATTTTCTTTTCAAGCTTTCAGATCTGAAATCAAATTTCACGGTAACCCTTAGTTATCTTAACCGAGCTTTGAACAATCCAGCCCAGATTCTGGGAGTTCAAGGGTTAAGCGATAGAAGGACGTCATAAGAAAATTTGAACCGAGATAATCTGAGCCGTGGACATTGCAAAACACTTGAACGGGGTATCAGAGGTTGGTATGATGTGTTTTGCAACTGTCCTGCATGGTGTGGCAAATAGACATTTAGTTCAGATAATTATGTTGGAAACAGTCAATACTTTAATTTGAGAATGCTTCTGAGTGTCTTGATGATTTAGGACATTGGAAGGGTCAAGATACTGCATATGGAATTAAGACAAGAAGGGTTTGGATCTTCTTCTACTTGTTTGTGACGTATCTAACTATGCCAAAAAGCATTTATGGTATGACTTTGGTTCTTTCTTTTTCCTTCTTTTCTTAGCTCTCTGCTGCCGTGTTCCTGCGGCTTTATAGAGGGATTTTTGTCTGAGCTTTCGTGATAAAAGCACACGTGAGACAGGGTTCGACATCTCCGCTAGCCCGAGGCTAGTAAAAAGTTGGTCGGGCTACTAAAAAAAACACGTTTAATAGCCTGCTGACTAGTAGAAAAATTGAAAGAAATCATATATAATTAGTTTACTTGAAGCTCACAGTTGATTAGAAAAATCAAGAAAGTTTAAATTGTAATGATAATAACAATAAAGAAGGCGTGAATCTTTCATCTTCTAGCGTCTTTTTTTGTCTTGCGTGTCAATGTCTTCCCCAGTCCTCTCCCTACTAATGTTGCGATGCTTTGCTCTTCGCCTCGCACGATCGCCTCGCACTTGAAATCTACTTAGCTTTTTCCTTAAATGACACATTATGTTATCACAACGAAAGAAAAAACGCCATTCTTTATCATTTTGAAAGACTTTGCCAATAAGTTTAGAGGAAGGTTTGCGTGTCTGGGGTTGAAGTAGACCTCGAGGGAAATTGATCCGGGCTACCAAGTTGTGTTTCGGGCTAGTTAACAAATGGTAAACACCACAGCGTACACTATTGAGTTATGGATGCACGCGGGAGGTTGCTAAGCACTCAAGAAGCGTAAGAGTCGCTCGAGGCGATAGTCGAGAGCGACTCTAGCTTCTTGAGTGCTTAGCAAACCTCCCAAGTGCATCCATAACTCAAAAGTGTACGCTGTGGTGTTTACCATTTGTTTTATAACATAACATTGATACATTGTAGCTAAAGAGTTCCCTTTCATTTAACAAATCTTACGCGTCCAGAAAAAAAAAAGCGCGCGCGGAAAAATAGTCTTTGCATTTGCTCACGTCAGCAGCGTACACCCATGGGCAAATGGGGGACGCTAAATTGACCAATCAGAGCGCGCGCTTTACTTTGGTTATGTTAGAATAAATTTTAGAAATCCCTAGCCCGGTGGCTAGTAATGCAGGTAGCCAAGTGTCGAACCCTGTGGGACTGCAAGGGTCATCGTTAAAAACAAGTTTTTTTCCCCCTAATTATGTCTACCCCTCATCTCTCTCCCCTCCCCCCCGACCGTACATTTTGTACTAATGAAATGAATGTGTTGGGGGTTCTTCTTACCTTCTATTGGCCTCAGACTGACGTAATGGAACTCATGCACATGCCCTAACACAAGGCGTTTGTATTCACCACTCTGATATGGCGTGATAGTTATGTCATTGGCTACAGACAAATTACTTATTACAAGTATACTTGTTCCATAATTGTTTGCTGCAGCTCGAAGAATCACCTCATCGCCCCAAGTACCATCTTTCTGCATATTTGTCAGGTAATCCTCCCACGATTGACAGTTGTCAATAAAGCCCAAAAGATCTGTGCCATCAGGCTGCAACAAAAATTGTAAATATATATTCTAAAACCCGAAAAGAAAGACAAGAAATGGTATAAATGGGCAGATGGTTAGAGTAGACTCCAGTGAAATATTATAGTTTTGATTACGATTGTTCTTAAGTTTATCTCACTGCATGTGATAATGTGATTAAAAATATTTTGAAACAGTCACTGCTTGTTAATACGTAACTGTTAATACGTAACCGCAATTGAACGTGTGAATCTCAAATAACGAACACTTGTAACATTACTTAGAATGCTGAGACCTATCATTTTCAGCTAACACAAGCTTACTAGTGTTGGGTTGTCCCTGAGGTACTGCACCAAGGTTCGTCGTAGATCACTCTGTTCGATTTTTATTCCTTTCACAATGTCAAGTTGATCTGACAAGGCATGGAACAGACAATTTCCTTGTCCTTGATTGGGAAACACTTTATAGCCCTTTCCTGACGCTGTAGTCGCTAGATCCCTTAATGGGTTACTTCTCTCAACACATCCACTTGTAGTATGGATGTTTAAGCCAGTTTGAAGCGCTTGTGTTACTGCAAGGGAGAAAAACATCTCATCGCCCACATTCTAATCCACTTTCAACCAAGAATGTTCACGAATCTAAACTCCGCTCTCCTTCCCACCTGTTATGTTAACAATATTATCATACGTTGTCAACTGCTGGAAGCTACCTAAAATCTTCATTCTAATTCTTTCACAACAAATACCGCCTACCGGTTAGCTCAATTGGTTAGAGCGCCGGATTGTGTTGTGCGGGAGGTCGAGGGTTCGAGCACCGGCCGGACCGATACTCATGGTCTTAAAATAAGTGAGGAGAATTTGCTACCTTTCTATAATCAAGAAATGGATAGATATTCTACTCTCCTCGGATAAGGACGAATAAACCGTAGGCCCCGTCTCCTGCAGGGTTAGGGGTAGGAGACGTTAATTTCCCACGCACGAGAATACTGTGTTGTGGATGTCCTCCCTTGGGGTGGGATGGGTGGGAATTGGCCCTGAAAAGCCCCCATGGGGAGTGGTCAACTAACGTATGTATGTATGAACGTATGTATGTATCATACGCCACGCTGCTTCATCTACTAGCTTGTCGATCTCTTTCTTTCCTGTCTGTTAATTTTTTGTTATTTTAGTGTAACATTGTAGACCATAGATACAGATGACAAGAAATTAATGAAATTTTTTTTCTGCTCCAGTGCATGTTTTTTTTCCAAGCCAACAGGACTAAGAGCTAGTCACCTAAAGCATTTAAGTGTCCGGGTGGATTGGAGGGGTGGAGGGGCATCATCCAAACAACAGCTTCACTTACATGTCTGCAATTCTCTTCGTGCTTGTTCAGAAGCCTTGGTGATATAGCAATACTTTGCAGCAAGGTCATTTCTTTCGACGAGGTGATTTTCCAAGCCATGTGCAAGAGTCTTAAAGTCAGCCTCAGAACCATTACATTCCTTCCATTTTTTAAGCATTTTGTAACACTTTTCTGAGGTGCGTTTTTCTTCCCAGTCAATGCTGATCAGTACTGACTCCTCAAGGTCCAACTGTCGTCCCAGTACCTTCCAGCAATCAAAAATATTACTGGCAAGGTATTGGAGATCATCTTCTGAAGGTGTTCCATCTTTAAGAAAGGGCGAGTCCACACGAACCACTGAAAATGAAGAATCCATAAGAAATAATTTGGTTATGTTTGCTAGATTGACGCTTCTGCCACAAGCAACATCCAATTCCTTTTCCTTGATTGAAAATGTTTGTAATCCATTCTATGGTTACCTTCAAGTGGCTCTCATATTTTTAAAAAAGGCAAGTAGAAAACTGTTAATTCAATTTATAAATTTTTGATTTGAGGTTAATGTCATTCTTCGTTTTCCTAGAAACCTATTTGCATCAAACTTGCCAAAATAAAATTACTCTTTCCATCATGTGCTCATTAGTAACAATATTGTTTTTTTACAATTCTTGAGCCGAGCGAGAGCAAGACCTTTCAACTAATCAAAACTTAATCGCATTGATATCAGAGTATGACCTAAATGTAAAATTCAAGTACAAATGAAAATCAGTTGGTGACTACATAAAATTAACATGAAGAAGAGATTGAGACACACCTTGTGGAGTCTCTGCTGGATGTTTAGTGTAACAGTATTTACGTGCTAGATCTCCCCTGTCAACGAGTTCATGTTCTAAGGCTTGAGCCAAGGTTCCATAATTAGCACTATAATGAAAGGCTTCTGTCCACTTTCGAAGCATTCTGTAAGATTTCTCATATACACTCTCCTCTTCAAAATTAATACTAGACAAATTTTCTTCGCACAACTTTAGCCGTCGTCCAATTTGTTGCCATGATTCCTGAATCTCATTAGCAAGGTCTTGTAATTCGGCACACGAGGGTGGTCCAGATTTCAAAGAGCCATAGGTGGAAATGTCTGTTACAAAATACAACACTCGTGAATCTGCTATTATGATTGAATGTGTTGTCTCAGAAATTCAACACAACGCAAGCCTCTCGAGCCCAAAAAGAATATGAGATAACAGTTTAAAATGTCTGATTAAGTCACAAACACTGCTTGAGTACCACAAGCAGAAAGAAACAACATGGAATCACATTTAAAATCATATACAGTACTCCCAGTTCCTTCATAAACTGATCAACGCTCCAAGCTCAACTTTTTTTAAGGCGCAATTTGGTGACCTAGAATCATAACATGGAGATTCACGGGACATATCAAGGCTTAATACTCAGCTAAACAAGGAAAGAGAGACAAAGCTTCATAGTAGAAGGCGACGCAACGTGTAATATTTTATAAAAGTGTTTGCCTCACTTTAACTTCTAACCATAAACACGAAATTAGTAAAACATTAAAGCTTGCTAAATGAATGCCAAACACAGGATGCTATATCATTGAAAGATAATGGAAATTTAGTCGTTTGAAAAAGAATATTTTTAGTTGCATGGTAACCAAATAGACTGAACCCAGCATGAAGCACTGTTGCCTTTTCTGATTTCCAAAAGTTACGATTCTCTTACCTCCACGAGATACAGTTTCTTCCCTTTTCTTGAGATTCTTGTCCTCCTGCGCAATAAAATCAAGACAGAAAACACACTGATGCGATATGGACAGATAAACACTATGCTATCGTGCAACCTTCTCAATTCTAGCTGGGCCAAATTTATCATAACGTCTTAAAAATGACTTATTATCTATATGGAATGGACACTATTATACACGACGACGACTTACCATGGAAAACCATTCATCTAGACCAGGAATCGTGGGTACTTTATCACAGAAGCTTTTTTCACAAAGCAGTCGTTCTGCCGGTGCCATGTTAAGAAGACAAAAACACTCTTCATGGGTACAGGATATCTTACCATGGTTCTGACAGGGTTTTCTCTCTATTGGGCAAAAGGGACATTCGACGCACAGCTCACACTTCAAATTGCCTCGCCAGGGAATTTGTTGAGCCATATCTTGCAACGTACTTTTTAGAAAATTTCGCAAATCTTTCGCAACTTCTCTTCCCTCAGCAAAACATTCTTCACTGACTGGTTCTCTGTGCTTCAAGATAATCTTGATATATCGCCTCTTGCAGAGAAGGGTTAACGGATGAATAAAATTTTTCACGATAAAGAACCTGGCTGCATGGCAATACAGGGTGGGTAGTCGTTTGAATCCATTTTCCGAGCACCAACTGATGCAACGAGAGACAAGCTGGTAAAAAATTCCATGGGGAACAAAACCATTTAAAAAGTCAAGATACAACGGACATGGATCAGAGGTTGATGCTTCCCATTTACAAAGATCTTGATCTTTCGGTAATGATTTAAGCTGGGCTGGAACAAAATACTGCACAGAATTCTGCGTTGATGTTACAAACTTAGCAACAAGACCAAAACGCTCCATCATGTCTAAGATGTCCTTTTCAGCTACAGAATCTTCCTTAATAAACTTTGAGAAGACATGACGGACAAGTTCCATGCACAGGATTCCTGTTTCCTCTAAATGTTTCCATTTCTGAAGGAGCCTGGATTCTAGGCCCTAAATAAACAAACAACAATAAATTCGTCCACCTGATAACGGAATGATGCGAAATAGCTTATATCGTATTTCAAGCGTCTAAGAGTTTGCATTCGCACCAATGAATAGCAAAAGGTCAACAGTGTAACTTTACGGTAATTATCAAGAGTTGCAAGCAACAATTTTACAGTCACCATTTAATTTGTATATTACAGCAATAGCATTGTTAAGCAAGTTTGGTTGTGATGTTGTTTGCTTTCTTAAATAAGGATCAAAGTGGCTATAAAATGATTAAATGAAAAAGTTAGGACAACTTGACTGCATTCTGACCGGTTTCATTGAGTATTCTTGTCTCCTAAACAAAACAATCATGTTTCCATTAAAAAGCCCATTTCCAACTGAGATGCCTTGCGCGCCCGGATCATTTTTCATATATGAAAAATACGCTATTTTCCTTGTAGTTGCGGAATCGCTTTGATATCTTCTTCCATCTTACTAATTAGGACTTTCAAAGTTCCATCTTGAATCATGTGAGAGCAACAAACTATCGTAGTATCCATATCAGTAAATAGTTTTTAATTCTTACATGTATGACGGTGAAAAACGTCATTTGAAAAGTTGATGCCGCCGAAGAAGCGGTCTAGAGGAAGGCCGAGTCTGCCCGGCTCGGCAAAGGTTATTCGACTTCGAGAGTCTGTGTATGATTTATGGAGGGCAAGGAAAACAACNGCTTTTTCTTACATCCACCAAATAAAGCTCGCATTTTTTGGAAAGTTGGTCATGGAGGGTCAGATTAATTCGGCCCTGCGATATCTCAGTCAGGATGATAGCGGAGGAGTATTACCGCTGACCAGCGATGTTGTGAGACAACTGAGAGAAAAACACCCTGATGCGTAGAGGGCCAAGCTAGGGTCGATGTTGTTCGGGCCTGTGGAAGATATGCCTGACTTGGTGTTTCAAGGAATTAATGGAGAGCTTGTGAGAGAAGCTGCATTAAGAACTAAGGGGTCTAGCAGCCCCTCGGGTGTGGACACCAATGGCTTCAAGAGGATCTTGGCATGCAAGTCTTTTAACAGATCAAGTGTCAACCTATGTGAGTCTATAGCTACACTCACAAGAAGACTGTGCACGGAATTTGTTGTCCCGCTGACCATTGAACCTATCGTGGCCTGTCGCCTTATTCCGCTTGACAAGGGTAACGGTGAGGTGCGCCCAATTGGTGTGGGCGAGGTGATTAGAAGAATAATTGGCAAATGCGTCACAAGAGTCACAAAACAGGATGTGATAAACGCTAGTGGGGCCACGCAGGTCTGCGCTGGTCAGAGGAGTGGCAAGGAAGCCGCAATACATGCTATGCGCAATATCTTTGAAGGCGGTGAAACTGATGCTGCCTTACTAGTTGACGCCTCTAACGCCTTCAATTCACTAAACAGAGCGGCCACGCTTAACAACATCTGAGTGCTATGCCCATTGATCGCCATCTATGTAACTAACACTTATCGAGTTCCTGCGCACCTTTTTGTGGTTGGTGGTAGTGAGCTTAAATCTGCAGAAGGAACCACACAGAGAGACCCCTTAGCTATGTCAATGTATGCAATTAGTATACAACCGTTAATGTCGTTGCTTCAAAATCGAAGTACTGCAAAACAATGCTGGTTCGCGGATGACGTTACAGGAGCAGGATCCCTAGAAAAGGTTAAGCAATGGTGGGATGAGTTGAGAGGCTGGTCCGGCCCTTGGATACTATCCTAACTCCAAGAAGTGCTGTGTTGTTGTTAAGCCGGAAAGGGAAGGCCACGCGAAGGAAATGTTTTCAGGGACTGGTATCAACATCACCACCGAGGGACGCAAACACCTTGGCGCTGTGCTGGGCTCTCGGTCTTATCTTGAGCAATATGTGGGTAGCACGGTAGAAGAGTGGGTGAAAGAAGTGACGGGGTTGCGGAGTTTGCAAGATCTCAGCCACAAGCTAGTTACGCCGCATTCACATTTGGGCTTCGACACTGGTGGACGTACTTTATGAGAGCACTGCTGGATATTGAGAACCTACTGCAGCCTTTAGAGCATACAATCTCGGATGTACTTATACCGTCGCTCACAGAACGTAACTGTTCTGAGGAAGAGCGTAGTCTGGTAGCATTACCAGTGCGTATGAGAGGCCTTGGGCTCATTAATCCATCTGATACTGCGGATGCGGAGTATTCAGCGTCTGTTAGGGTAAGCGCTCCACTTGTAAGCAAAATAGAGGCGCAATCCCATGAGACCCCAGAAGAGGCCGAGGTACAACGACT